ACCTGAGAGTTGCACCATGCTGCAGCCACACGCCTTCCCTACCTGAGAGTTGCAGTCTGCGGCAACCCTCCAGGGAGCTCTGTGCGCTGGCCTTCCTGACATTTCTCTGGTAGCAGAGTCAGTATAGCCTGTCAGGTCACTGGGCATCAGTTTAGAATTGACCCATTATTGCTTTCAGTCCTCTCTGCATCTGTTGATGTTTCTAAGGAAAACAGTAACAGATTATTTAAGAGACAAAGAGAATGAACTCCCTTGGGACAATTTTAACTGTCAGGCACTGCAGACCTTGGGCCATGGCTTTCATGTAGGCAAAGACTGCAGTGTAACCACTGCCCTGCTCCTCCTCGGTTTGAGTTGTCACATTGGTGTTGCAGCTGAGACTTACCCTGGCTCAACTTGAAGCCACCCATTTCACAAGGGCTGACAGCCAGGTGTCCACGCCACTGAGGATGGTTGGCCTGGCCTTCTGAGTGCAGGGGAAGAATGGCTTTTTCACTTGAGTTTCTTAGTTCATTGGGAATCCGAGGGCTTGTTGAAAAAGTCAGTCCCTGGTGAGCTTCCTCATTAATGCTTGCACAGTAAGCTCCTGGTGTAGGTGAGCTCCAGAGACCATCCTGCAGAAAATGGGTGGTCTGTACTCTGATGGTTAACTCTGGGTGTGAAAGTCCCTTGTCATCATGGGTAGCAGTAGTATAGACACCCCCCATACGCACACATACACTCGTGCTCACACGCTGGTACATTCTTACACACACTGTCTTGTAGACTCACGCTCCCTGCGTCCCACCTGGTCCTGCTAAGTCAGGCCCCTGCACACCTGATGACCTGTTGCTTAATGCCAGGCAATCAGTTAGGTTGAACCTTATGAAGCTGCCCGTATTTAACCAGGTGAGCCTATAGATATGGCAATTTGATATTGTTCAGACTAATATAAAGCATTTTGCCTGAGTCATTTAGACAGATTCTACTATACTCCCATTTTACAGATGAAGTAACTGAGACCAAGTAGATTATGCAATTTGACAAAGGCCGCAGACTTAGTTAATGAATTTGAACCAAGTCTGTCTGGTTTGGGGATGCTTGCTTTTTAACCACCATTATTCCTGACACTAAGGAGCTCTCATAGCGTAGTGGTTATGAGTCGGGCTGCCAACCTCAAGGTCAGCAGTTGGAAACTACCAGCGGTTCCGCAGGAGAAAGATGAGGCGTTCTGCTCCCGTAAAGATTTATAGCCTTGGAAACCCTGTGCAGGGTCACTATGAGTCAGAACCAACTCCCCGGTACTTCACAACAATTCCTGACACTGCTGGTTAGTCCCTACAGCAGGGGTGGGGAACGTCCAACCCACAGGCTGCACAAAGCCCTGCGATATATTTGGTCTGGCCCTGCCAAGGCAACCACAGTACCAGCCATTACATTAGGGGTGCGTTAATTGAATGTTTGACCAAATATAGTAGACTGATTTTTAAATTGATAATTTTGTATGGTCCGCAAATGACGTCATAAATATCTAAATGGCCCTTGGCAGAAAAATGGCTCTCCACCCCTGCCCTACAGGGACACTAGACCTGGGTCTCCTCAGGGACCAAAAAGACTGACTTCAAAGACTTGGGGTTTCTACAGGCATTTTAGCTTGATGGGAGTGAAGCTGGGTGGGTGCTTTCTTGGCTAAGTGAGGCTTTTTTCAGTGTTCATTGATTGAGTGAATTGCTAAGGAAAACAAAAACAGATTGTTTAAAAGAGAGAAATGATTTCCCAAGGAGAAATTTACTAGTTCAACTTTGCCGTAGTTGTTGTTAAGTGCCGTCAAGTAGTGATGACAAATAGGCCTGGTCTTCTAAGAGCATCTCTGATTGGAGGGATGAGGATCTGCCATGCCCTTCATTTTTGGGTGGGGGGGATCCTGCTCTCAACAGTGCAGGTGTGTCTGTGCCAGCTCAGCCAGTCTTGGGGTCATGGGACCACTGTTGGACTCGTCCCAGGACACCGGCTGTGGCCTCCTGTAGGCTGGGACCAGCCTTGGTCTTCTGTCTGACCCTTCGTGTCCTAACTTGAGACGGTGTGTGTTCCTAGCCCAGGACCCCAGCGTCTCCCCCAGCCAGAGTCTGTGCGCAGAGAGCTCCCGTGGCCTGGCGTCCAGTTCGCTGTCAGGCAGTGGTGTGGTACCCGTCGAAGCGTGCTGCTTGGTCATCCTGGCTGTGGAGAGCAAAGTAAGAGTTTGCACTGCCCACCCCCCACCTGCTCCTGAGCCCAAGCCGGCCCCCACTTCTATAGCTTACCTGCTGTGAGGAGACTAGGAGTTGGGGTGCTGGGTCTAGGCTCCACTTAGTCCCCTTTCAACCGTGTGACCTTAGGCATATCTGCTTCATTTCTGTAAAGTAAATTGTGGTGACTGCCCTACATGGAATGTCTTCCTGCAGCTGATCTACTGGCCTCGCATTGTGGACATGTCTGACTAGATAGGTCTTAGTTTGGAGCACAGGCTTGCCAGTCTGCTTCTGAGAAATCACAGCCTTGAAAACCCTATATGAAGCAGTTTCTCCTCTGCAGGTCGCCATGAGTCAGAAGTGACTTAAGTCCTTTGTTATGGGGCTATCTGGTACTCTGCAGGATGCCTTGCAGCATCCCTGGCCTCTCTCCATAGAAGGCCAGGACACTCCAAGGGTGACGACCAGAACTGTCTCCAGACATGGCCACATGTCCCCTGAGGACAGAGTTGCTCTGGGTTGAGAAGCTGCTGTGGAGCAGCTAGTAACGAGCAAACACTGTTACACGCTGCTTTGTGTTGGAAATGCTGTCCATACACTGTGGACTTGTCCCCCCTACCCCCTCCGCTATCATCCCCATGGAGTGTGAGGACTGCCACGGGGCCTCTGGCGCCCCCTTTGGCAGTAAAAGGCGGAGGGATACTTGTTTCTGCTGTTGTGCTGTGTCCACCCCTTCCTTCCTTCTTCACCCTTCAGTTCACTTGGGCAGTAGTCGGGACTCTCCCCCCATCTCCACCCCTCACCCCCACCCCGCAGGGAGCTGCGGAAGAGCTGTGCTCGCTGCTGTGCCAGGTCTTCCAGATTGTTTACACGGAGTCGACCATCGACTTTCTGGACAGAGCAATATTCGATGGAGCCTCGACACCCACCCACCACCTCTCCCTGCACAGCGGTAGGTTGGGGAATCCCCAGTACCCTGCTTCACACATTCAACAGGCGACTAGAGCCGAGGGCATCCACCTCCTAGGAGTCAGTGGCCTGTCTCCGACCTCCTTGTTCAGGTGAACATGTAGAGTAACAAAGTAATCGAAGAGAAACGCCACCACTTTCATACCGAGTTCTTTTGAGCAGAAAGGCCTGACAGCTTGGTGGCTTCCTTGAGTAACCTTGGGGTCCTTGATCATTTATTTTTAGTTACTTCACCTGACTCAGAGCACAGACATGTAGGGCTGGAGGGACTTCAGCAGTGGTCGTCTGCTTGGGCTGCCCAGAAACCCGAGGTGGTGGAAAAAGACCCTAAAAGCTCACCTGATGGGCTGCTTGCCTCCCAGGAGTGCGGACAGAGTGCTCCATCTGTGGCCACGCCCACGTGAGCGGAGTTTTTCCATGTATTGAGGAATCGGGTTAGGTACACTGCAGAGAAGCTGCTGGAAGCAGTAACAATACTGCACAGAGTGGAGGCCGCTGACACGTGCAGACTAGCATGCCTAGTAGTACTGGGTTGTTTACCTAGACTCTCAGTCAGATACACATTTTAGTATGACGGGTCTGGCCCTTGTGCTTTAAAATTCCAAAAAGGGTCTCTCTTTTTGATGTTTTAAACAATCTGTGTTTTTAAGTAGTAGACTTCAAAGGTAAGTTCCTGATTCATAAAATTCAACCATGTAATTTATGATATAATTATGAGCAATCAACTTCCCCCGAGCTTGACTGTAATACAACAGATAATCGTCCATTTATTTTTGTACCTAGTGATTTAGAGGGATTAATGTCAGTGTATTTCATAGATAAATATCTGGCAGTTTTCTAACCACTAATCCTAATTGAAAGGAGCTCTGGCAGTTATGAGTGGGCTGCTAAACTCGTAGTGGTTATGAATCGGGGTGCTAACCTCAGGGTCAGCAGTTCAAAAGTACCAACTATTCCGCGGGAGAAAGATGAGGCTTTCTGCTTCTGTAAAGGTTTACAGCCTCGGAAACCCTGTACAGGGTCACTGTGAGTTGGAACCGACCCCACGGCACATAACCAACCAACCAACCAACCCTAATTGAAGAAGCCCTGGTAGTGTAGAGGGTTAGGCATCGGGCTGCTAACCACAAGGTCAGCCGTTCCAACCCACCAGCCGCCCCCTGGGAGAAAGATGAGGCTTTCTGTTCCCTTAAAGATGTACAGCCCTGGAAACCTGTACAAGGTTGCTATGAGTCAGACCTGAATTTACAGCACACCATCACCATCACCATCACCATTCCTAACTGAGTATATTTCTTGTTGGATAATAGATCACGTGTTTTTCAGCAAGTACTGCGTTTCAATAGTAAAGGCGTTTATTACCACAGGAATTGAGGGAACAAAATGTCCTTTAAATACTACATCTTCAGGGGAGAGGACACCATGCTCTTTAACAGTTAAAACCAAAGACTTTTTACATTCCAGGCATCTTTTATGCCCAGTGAGCCAGAAATTCATAGGGAGGGGCCCCAGAGACTCTGGCTCCTTTCCGTTGGTCCTCACAGAGTGCACCTCTCTTGAGGGCAGGCTGATACTTCAGTTAAACTCAGGTTCTCTTTGATGACCTTTTTCTGATCATTTCCCTTCACACGCTTCAAAAGGCCACCTTGGCTCTTAGACTGCTTCATCTGCTTAGTCACATTGGCAAGAACCATGCCCTTAACTTTATTATTTGCAATAATGGTGGGTCACGGGTAATCTTTTGGTAACATTTGTGGGGACATCCTTTTTGAGCTGTGTCCATTCCTGATGTCCACAATACCACCTTTCTTGTCCATTTGCGTGTGTGTGGCCCAAGGAACGTATTGTCTGAAAGACCTGGAGGGCATAGAGGGTTTCACCTCCTTCCCTTTGTGGTCATCATTTGCAGATAACTGCAAGTTGGTGGTTTCAGTGGAATAGCTTTATTTCTTGAAAAGGTCACAGATCCTAATGTACAATTACAATTCAGGAACTTTCATTTCATGGGCACACCTTTTTTTTTTTTTTTAACAAATACAGACGGGTTTATTTATTCTGTTTCCAAAAGAAGATGGGATAATTTTATTAATAGTTTTAACTTTTTTTTTTTTAATTTTTATTGTGAATTGAGTGGTAGTTTACATGGGGAACATCAGTTTTACAATCATTGTGTCATTACAATGATTACAGTCCCCTCCACGCATCATCATTCAACAGTATTTACTTCTATTCCCTCGCTGAGTTTTTTCCCATGGGCACACTCTTGAGTAGACTTCCTTTCTGTGCTGGCCTGCCTTCAGCATGATAAATTGCAAACGTTTCTGCTCACAGTGCTTTGAGTCTCCCCCAGACACACACACAAGTCTGATTTCTGCTTCAGGCTCTGCTTACTGTCTAACTTCTGTGGCTGCAGCCACAGGTCCTTAAAACTTGGCAGCTGAAGCAACACATTGATTGTCTGAAGAGTGAGGCCTCAGAGGGCTCGACCCCGTGTATGGGCAGGGCTGTGTTCCTTAGGAGAGGTCACAGGTGAGCCCGTTTCCTTGGCCTGTCAGCCTCTGCTGGCCGCCGTATCCCTCGGCTCTGGTTCCAAAATCAGTGGCCACAAAGTTGCACATCTCTGACCCTGCTTCCAGGGACACCTCTACCTCTGATTCTCAGATTCCCTCTCACACGTATTAAGACCCTTATTTTGGAGTCCCTGGATGGTGCCAATGGTTAAGTGCTCAGCTACTAACTGCGAGTTCGAACCTACCCTGGAGAACGGTTCTGGGAATCTGCTTCCCACAGATTAAGACTTGAATATCCTATGAGCAGTGCCGCTCTGCACACATGGGGTCCCATGAGTCTGAGTCCATCTCTCGGCAGCTGGTTTGGGGTTTTGTGGTGATCTCCCTTCCTTAGGGTCAGCAAATAAACAACCTGAAGTCTGTCTGCAACTTAAATTTCCCTTCACCACCCACCTACTATTCCTAGGGTTTGAGGATGAGGATGTGGGTATCTTTGGGAGCTGCTGTCCTGCTGGCCTCACTTTTCTGCAGTGTAGGGGTGGTCCCTTCTCTTACCCCCACGTGCATTTAAAGTTCTGCACCTCGGTTTACCTGCTTCTCTGGCTGCCGATCACTGGCTGAACACCCTGTCCTCCCGCTGACCAGCACTCACAGTTTGCCTGACAGCTCGGCATTCTTGGCCGAGCTCCCCCTGAGTAACTGCCTGAGGTCTTGTCTCAGCTCTCAGGGAGCCACTGTGTCCAGGCAGTTGTCACCAGCTGTGTGGCCTGGGACGGGTTACTTAACGTCTCTGGTTTAGTGATGATGCCTGCCTGGATTAAAGGACAGTGTGTCATTACTTTCTGCCACCAGTCTCACCACCTGGATCTGAATGTGCGTGGGCAGACCCCTGGGTGCACACACACGCAGGTCCTGAGTGGTGCAGCTGGGAATCCCAGCAGGACTGGGTCAGGAGTCTGGCCGTGAGCGCTGCTGTAACCCTGCGTAGAGCTGGGCCTCCTCGCTGTGTAACTGAAAGTCTCTATGTTCCCGTCTTCCTCACAGATGACTTGTCCACCAAAGTGGACATCAAAGAATCCTATGAGACTGAGGCCAACACTTTGTAAGTAGACCCCTCCCCGTGCCCAGGAGCTCCACAGCAGCTCTTGCATTGCCAGCATTTGGGGGGCTGCCACCCTCCAGCAGTTAGTGAGCTATGCACACACTTCACCCTTGTTGGAGCCCAGTTCTCAAGCCCATGGTCCCCACCCCATGAGGGAGCTGCCCTGCAGACCAGCTTATTGCTCAGAAGGCTTCTCTTCCCAAATACCTCACTGGGATATTGGGTAATACCTGTCACCACCCTGCCTCCCAGTGCCTGCAGGGACAGTCTTGATGAAAGGCATCCTCTGCCCAAGCCCTCCAGGGCCTCTGCTGTCTCTTGGTAGACTCCGACCTCCACGCAGCCCTCATATGTCCCAAAGCAACAGGACTCTATTGAGTTAAGAGTTGAGGATCCAGGGCCTCGGCTCCACCCTTACTCATCTCTCCTCTCGGCAGCTCGTTCCCTGACCCTATGGATGTGTGTGGCTTCTCATCCTTGTCCTGCATGACGCCACCACCCCACCTCAAGACAGCCAGCGAGACTGAGCTGAGCACCACAGCCACCGAGCTTCTGCAGGACTACATGCTGACAGTACGCCACTCCTCAGTGCTGCTGGGGCCATAAGCAGCCATGCTGGGATGGGGCGCTCGGCTCTGGCTCTAGGTCCTGAGACAGCCACCCTGAGGGCGGTCCCAGGGGGTGGTTGGCAGGTGGGGTCAGGCTGGCGGGCAAGGGGTGGGGCGCAGTGCAGGAAGGCTCTGGTGTCACTGTCACCATCTGAAGCCCTACGCTCTTGCCTAGTGTGCACCTGTCTTGGGCTGTGCGAGTTGGGCCGCATGTGTGGGCCGCATGCTGGCTTCTGGGCCAGGACTGTGAGCCCAGTCAGGCCTGGGATGGTGTGCCACTCTCCAGAAAGGCCGGACCAGCTGCACTCGCACCGATGGCTTCCTCTCTCCGAGGGGCTTCCCAGCCCTGTCCTGGTGCGTGTGCTGGACCCTCACAGACAAGTCAGGTGCTGGCTAGGGCGTCAGTGACCTTCCCTTGGCTCTCATCAGCTCCTCTCTCACTGGCTGTGGTCAGCACTTTGTCGTGTTGCAGCTGACTCAGCTGCTTCAGTAAGACAGAGCCAGCGCTCAGAGATGGGTTCCTCCTGCACTGTGGGGCTGGGGAAGTGGGCCCTGTCACATGCTCTGGGGGTCTCAACACGTCCTGCTGTCTGAACCCGACAGCCCCAGGGAAGAAGACCGCATTCTGTGTCATCCCCTCGGGTGCTGTGATGAGGGCCATGGGACGAGGGGGTGATGGTACCAGACCCTGAACCCTATAAGCCCAGTGCACACTTACGGTGCTTCTTGTCTGTCTGAGCCAGCACATGCTGCTGGACAGAAAGGCCTCCGTAAGGGCAGACAGAGGACCAAATTCAGAGTGCATGCAGTAAGGGAGGTTCTCTCTCTCCGTCAGCTCCCTGTAGCATCTGTAGACCCAGCAGTCCTTGGAGGTCTCCGTGTGTCTTGTGACCCATCTTCCCCTGGGTGCTGGGGCCCCAGGTCAAAGGGTACACTCCACTCCCAGCTCTTGTTTCTTGGCGGTAGTGGGTCGTTCTGAATATCTTGAAAGAGACTGACTTGATAGAGCTGAATCCTACAGATTGCATCCAGCCTCCTTGCCTAGAAGTGAGATTTTATATCAGATCACACACCATGGGAATAATTACATGATATTACAGATCCCCTCATGGAGGATTCCTAGGTCTTAACACTAAAGCACTGAGAATCCAGGCCCAATTCAGTTGACACAAAACCATGATTATCATGATGCCCATGGCCTGGGACTCCACTCAGCGTGGGGTCTCTGGTTGGAGGTTCTGCCCGCTCCCTGGCCCCCAGCCCCTCTGGTTCTCTTCTCTTGCAGCTGCGCACCAAACTGTCATCCCAGGAGATCCAGCAGTTTGCCATGTTGCTGCATGAGTACCGCAATGGGGCCTCCATCCACGAGTTCTGCATCAACCTGCGGCAGCTCTATGGGGACAGCCGCAAGTTCCTGCTGCTGGGTGAGATTTAAACCAGAAACCTGCCATCAGAGGGTCTTGGAGGAAATCCTTGTCACTTTGGTTGGAGTGGCTTTTCCGGTTGACCCAGGCTGTGCCGCAGAAGCGCCCTGCTCACAACGCTCCCTACCCTCAGAGTGCAGAGACGGGCCCCGAGGACATGGGATAGGCCACGTTCAAAGCCAGCAGTGAAGGGAGGCGAGCTGCTGGTTGGGGAGGGGAGAAGGAGCTCTAGGAAGAGGGATGTGTGGCAGAGTTCAGCCATAACCTCTGCTGCCTCACGCTCTCACTGGGCATTAGAGTATGCAGACTGTCTGAGGAGTCTGTAAGTCCTCTTATGTGAAGGTGGGCCCTCGGCAGGGCTGAGGTCTTGGGAAGGCAGTCTTGATCCCTACCCACCATAGTCCCAACTTGGGTCAGGGTGGGGACAGCCTTAGTCAGGAATCGCTTTTGACTTTAGTTTTTCATTTTTGTCCTAAGCCCTTATCCAATAGATGTGGGCAGGCCTGGTATGCAGCTCTTATTTCATGAAATAAGCTTACTCGAGGCTGGGAGGCTGAGCGCCTCTGGATGCCCACTATGCTCTGATCTCAAAAGCATCCCAGAAGTGGTGTGGGGCAGGCCGGTCCCATGGTGTAACTGGGAGGGGCCTGTCTGGGTGTGGTCATGACAATGATGTCTCGGTCAGGTCTCCGCCCTTTCATCCCTGAGAAGGACAGCCAGCACTTTGAGAACTTCCTGGAGACCATCGGCGTTAAGGACGGTCGGGGCATCATCACAGATAGTTTCGGCAGGTACCGACGGGCAGCCAGTACAGCCTCCAGCTCCACCACCAATGGTAACAGGGCCGCAGGCAGCTCCGACGACCAGTCCCTGCCCTCTGAAGGAGACGAGTGGGACCGCATGATCTCGGACATCAGCAACGACATTGAGGCCCTCGGCTGCAGCATGGACCAGGACTCTGCGTGACGCACCCTTAGGGTCAGGGCTGCCCAGGACCGTGTACTCTGAGGGGTCCCACTCCTGCATTTCGGAGTCTACCCAGGGATGGGCAGTCTGAGCCAGCTCTGAGAACTCTGTCACTGCGTGCACAAGTTTCATTTTTGCACATCATGTTCCTGTTGTAACTCAGAGACCTTAAAAAAAGTTGACTACAATGTGAATGATTGAAATCTGGCTGCCAAGCACATTTCTCATTCCATTGGGTAGGAGAGCTGAGGCTAAGAAGCATGTCCTCCAGGCAGGGTCCAGCCTTGGACTGTGTTCGGGGTGGGGGTGGGGGGGATACTCTTATCCCAAAGGATTAACTAGACCTTGGGAGTAGGGAGCAAGTGGGAAGAAGGGTCCCCACTTTCCATCAGCAACCCCATGTGTGGCCCCTGCAAGTTCCCTCCTTTTCTGAACCATACCCCTATGGCCCTGGGCTGACAGATCTCGAGGCCACCTGGTGGGAAGCACCCATCCCTGTCCTGTGCAAGGCGGCTTCCTTCTCCTGAGCTGCCCCGCTCAAACCCCACACCGCTCCGCATAGAGCATCTTCAGCCCTGTGGCTGTTCATGTGCTCGCTGTGCCTCTGCTTGGGCAGACTGCGTTCTTACCGAGCTCTACTCCAGTGATACTGCTTACCATTCCTGCAGTGCACAGGTCCGCTGCATGCCTTCCTCAGCATCTCCCCAGTCACCCACCTGAGCACCTTATTGAGTTGTGTGTCACAGCTCCTCTACTGGGCCTTCCTCCCCCCAGAGGCAGTGAGCACTCTCTCCTGAGCTCATTGGCCGTGGCTTCATTTTCATTCTGTCCCTCTGTAACCTTTCCCCAGTGGACGTCTTTCCTGGGGAGTCGGCCCTGAAGACAGGGTGGGGAGCACAGAAAGGTCCATCTTTGGAAAGCTTGACTCCCCAGCCACCTAAGAACGGTACCCCAACCCACTGTCCTGATGGCAGGGGCACTGCATGTCAGATCAAGGATCTCACTGGACTACCCTGGAAGGACCAAGCCTCTTTCACAGGTTCAGTTATGAGCAGAGGAGGGCAGTAGGGAACTCAGACCCCTAGGACAAAGGGTTTTATCAGGGAGACATCCTTGCTGTTCTGGTTGGCCATGGGACCCCCAAGCCTAGCCATGAAAAAGCCTTTGAGTAATGTCTCTAGATTTACACTCAAATAGACCCTGCCCTGGAAATGTATGGCAGTAGCTGAAGAAAAACCACCCCGTAGGCTCTGGGTACCAGTGGGAGAACCTCCTTGCCCTCCCTGACCTGAGACCAGATTCACACCAGCTCTTAGTAGAGCTGCAGAAGCACCCCTGGAGTTGTTGATGGTGCTTTGTGTGTGTTCTCCATGTGGCACAGCACAGTGCCTGCATGCCCATGCCTGCCACCCCAAGACAAGCCCCCTACTGCAGGTCACTAGACTGAGCCAGATCTGCAGGAGGGCCCATAACTTCCTCCTGGAGGGCTGAGGCCTTGGGTTGGGGTGGCACATCTCATCACTTGGCCTTGCGGAGAGCACAAGGGTATCTCATGGAGTTTCTCCAGCCTGTGATGCCCTCAGTGACACTTTCTTCAGACTGCTGCTTCTGAAGACTTCCTTCCAGAAACTCCACCCTTTAGACACATCTCTGAGCTAGAGTACACTCAGCCTGGTGGCCTGGCCTCATGTCCCTCCTCGGTGGGTGAGATAGTTGGCTAGAAGCATTAAGGTGGAGGGTGAGTCACCCTCGCTACGAACACAAGCCCCATTCCAGGAACACACAGGAGCAGAGGCAGCACTGAGGGGCACGGATTTATTGAGACACAGTGCTGGAAGAGCAGGAGGGCGGCTGGGAGGGCTGGTCACCCAGTGGCTACATAGTCAGCTCCTGCAGGAAACACAGAGGTGTCAAGTGAGGGCACAGGGAGCCCCAAAGATGCCTGCAGAAGGGCCCAGCTGGCTGCTCACCATGATGGCATTGACGATGTCACTGTGGTTGTCCCTGAGGGCCTGCACAGCCTTGGCCCGGGATACACTGGCCTGAGCCATCACCAGCTCAATGTCCCGAAGTTCCAGCCCTGCCTCGTCCACCTGTGGGAGGGACCAGGCAGGCAGTGGCAGGCAGCTGCTGAGTCACCAAGGCAAAGCCCAGGCCACCAAAGCCTCACCTTCACCTCCTCCTCCTCCGGGCACTCTGGCTTTGCCTGTAGCCCTGGGGTTGACTCGGTGGTGTGGGCTGAGGGCTCAGCAGGCACCTTGAACTTCTCCGCTGCGGCTTTGTGCACTTGCTGGGATAGGTCCTCGATCTGCAGGCACAAGAGTCAGGGTACAGAGCAGCCCACGCTCACCTCCCCACTCACCCACCCACCCAAACCTGGACAGACTTTTGCCTCGCCAAAGACCACGTAGGTGTCAGAAGCTGGGCTCTTAAAGACGTCAGGTTTGCTGATGACAAAGAGGATGTTCTTAGATTTCTGGATGGTGACCCTGGTGACACCCTGAATCTGCCGCAAGCCCAGCTTAGACATAGCCTGTGAGGAGAGGGAATAGAGGAAGTTCAGGCTTCCATCCTCACCCCTCAACTAGGGGCCAGCAGCACCAAGGTTCCCCGTTGCCCACTCTACCACTGAGTGTTTCAACTCTGACCTTATAGTTTACACTGTCTTTTGAGAAGCTGAGGTCTAGTGCTCCATGGTCTGATGGCTCCTGGCCTTGATTCAGGTCACTGCAGAGCACTCAGCACTGAGATGCTGAGGTCTGAGGAGGCCCGTCCCCTCCCAGGCAGCGGGCCCCTGCACTCACCTTTCGGGCCTTCTTCTCACTGCGGCTCTGTTTGGCTTTGGTGATGGTCTCATCACTGCTGCTCACTGCTGGGACCTGGGGACAGGAAAGAGCACTGCTGGGGGTGCTAGAAGTCATGCCCCCTGCCCTTTGGGCCTCAGAAGCGCACCCTCTCCCCCAGACCAGGTTGCAGAGGTGGGGAGGGTGCAGAAGCACCTGGGGTGGGCACCGTGCTGTCCGAGGGGCTGCGGGGTCCTGCTCCATCTCGGGGGCTGATGAGTCCGCGTGGCTGTCCGAGCCTGGAGCCAGCAGTGAGTCTACGAAAGGAGGCGGCAGAGGTTCACACTGGAAGCAAAAATGACTAGGCCTTGGTGGTCACAGGTAGGTCTTCCCCTCCTGGTGTGGGGGCCCCTCCAGCGCAGAACCCCCTGCCTTAGCACCCTCACCTTCCTCCAGACTGTCCAGGTCTTCTTGCAGCTCAGGAACTGGGAGCCCCTGAGGGCTGGCTGGGGGGCGGGGCCTGGAGCCTGGAGGCACTTGGCAGGGGGTGCAGGTGCCAGCAGCTGGGTCTTTGGCATGGGGACCCCCCACAGGGGCTGCCTTGGGGTTAAGGAGCGGGGCGTGGCCAACCTGCTGTCTGGGTACAGGAGGCCCTGGGTTTCCTGAGATGGCCTCTACTACCTGCTGAGCATCTGGGCTGAGCAGCTGGAGACCTGGCAAACCCAGAGGCTTGTGGTCCCTGCAGTCTCCTCCAGGCCCCTGGCAAAGGCAAGGGGCAGGGGCAGGGGCAGACTCGGTGAGGACACCAGGTGGAGAGACGTTGGGTTGCTGGAACCTGTCCTGGGCACATGGTTTTGGGGACTGGCAAGAGAGGTGACTGGGGCGGCTAGAAGCCTCTTGGGCCCGTTCCCTGACACCCCGGCTAGGATGGGGGGCCCTGGGGCTGCCCCTTACCCCAGTCTCTGGCTGCCAGAAGGGGGCCGAGGGAGTTGTAGCAGGCCTGGGTTCTCCAGGGCAGTCCTTGTCAGGTCCAGGGGCAGCACCTGCTGGAGACTCTGGGCTGGAACAGAGCTGTACCCCTGAAGCTACAGATGCAGGCAGCTCAGGCCCACCTTCCTGGCTGCTAGACCCCAGAGTCTTCCCAGCACCGTGGGTCCCCACACAGAGGCTTACGCTGCCCTGGCTCTCGAGCTCCTTGGTCCCATCATCTGTGTGCTGGAAGCCTCCGCCCTCCATTGGCTCAGGCTCCACAGGGCCCCCCATTGCTTTCTGTCCCTCGTCCCTGGCAGGTACAGACTCTGAGAAGACACCTCCATCTCTCCCCAAGGTCCAGGGAGTCACGGCTTTCACCACCAGCTCCAGATCTAAGGTGGAGCCTTCTCCATCTTCTTGGGCCTGCTCCAAGGCTACAGGTTCCGCTGCTGGCTCCGGGGCCAATGGTCTGGCCACAGCCACTACCTCCGAAGTAGGCATCAGTCCTAGGGCCACACCTACTTCACGCTCAGCCAGGGCTGCCATGGGAGCAGCAGGCACTGTCCCTAGGGGGCAGCCTGCTTTCTTCTGCAGGGTCTGGAGGGTTACCATAGCAGTAGGCCCCGGGTCTAAGGGCAAAGCTGCTACTCTTTGCAGAGGAAGAGGTGTTGTCATCGAAACAGACTCATGGCATAACATACATCCTTCATACAGGGGCACAAGTGTTGCGGTAGCAACAGTCTCCTGGCCTGAGGTGAGGTCTGGGTCAACCTCCTCCTTGTGCAGAGTCTCTGACATACCAAGCGAATCTGGACATGGGGTGAGGCTGACTTCCTGCTGCAGGATTTGAGGTGTTTCTGTAGCAGCAGTTTTATGGGCTGTGGTAGCATTGACTTCTTCCTGTAAGGTAAGAGGTGATGCCACAGCCATCTGGCCCAAGGCAAGGCCGTCTTCTACCAGGACCACAGGTGTCACCCTGGCAGCTTCCATCTGCCCTAAGCAAGGATCTGTCTCTTCCTCCCCAGAATGGGGTGGGCCCACTTCTGCCAGCCAAGTGTGAGATGTTGCTGGGGTGGCTGCCTCCCGGCCTGAGAGGACACCCTCCTCCCCATGTGGCTGCTGAGCTGGCATTATGTCAGCCACTTCTCCTTTCCAGACTAGCAGTGTGGGCCCCTCCTGGCCTGAGGATGGGGTCCAGGACTCCTGTCTCTCCTCAACCTTGCACCCACCGTCCTCGAGCAGGGCACTGGGCTGGGCGTGGGGCTCCCCACTGTACAGCCTCTCATCGTCCGCCTCCGCATAAGAGGCCGAGTCCGAGTTGGAAGAGGCTGCTGAGGTGTCATCCCGGAAGGCGAAGGCCTCATCCATGCCCTCAGTGATGGAGATATCTGACAGGGACTGCAGGAAGGAGGCAGATGTGCTGTCGTCCTCCCCCTCGTCCCCCGGGGCTTGGCCAGGCCCCGGGACCTTGGCCTCTGCCGCCTCCTGCTCTGGGGAGGGCAGCAGCATGACCTCCACAGCATCCACCTGGAAGATGAGGCTGCCCTGGAAGGGCAGGAGAGCCGCGGGGATCATTGAGTCACTTGTCAGAAAGTCTAAGTCAAAGAGCTGCTCCTCCTGACTCCAGGAAGAGCTGCTGTCGGCTGAGAGGCTGGATGAGGACGAGGACGGGCCCTGGGGCCTGGCGGCACAAGGCCTCCACTCCTCAGCCACGCTGCCTTGAGGAGAGAAGCCCCAAGCCGAGGGGAGTTCCAGCCCTTCCACGGGGGCCAGCATGTTGAGGGAAGAGGATGGGGAGGAGGCCCAGCTGTCCCCATCTGCTGTGATGTAGGAGCCTGAGGGTGAAGTGGGAGGCGAGCCCAGCAGCTCTGCCTCAGAGTCCCAGGGCCCGAGGCCTGGAGGCAGGACACACGTGGCCTGCAGAGGGGTTGAGGGGGGCGTGAAGTAGGAATCGGGGTCTGCATGAGGGCAAGGCACAGAAGGGTCACCCTGAGAACACAACTCTGGTGGGTTTAGGTCAGCGTGCCCACCTGCCCAGTCCCTGAGCTCTGTGGGGGCTGCTTTGGGCAGTAGGAAGGGCCCACAGGTCTCCTCACCCATCACAACCCGGGGCTCCAAAGTGGCTGGGAGGGAAGCCTCTTCAGGCCGGCCCTCAGCTGGGAGAGCCCAGGCCGATGGAGCCTGGCCCGGCCCTGCATCCCAGCTGGCCCCCTCAGGCTGGGGCCGGGTGCCGGGCTTGCTAGGTAGGAACGTGACAGCCAGGGGCTTGGGCACTGGTTGTGGGGCACAGCGCTCCCGCTGGTCCCCACTTGGCATGTCGGCAGCAGCAGCATCACAGGACAAATCTGTGGAGACAAGATAAGCCAGCTGCACAGGCTCTTTGTGGTGGCTTCTCGGCAGGACAGAACACATGCCGGGTAAGGGAAGCAGCATGCCAATGCTGCGCTGCTCTGATGAGGCTGGCACAGGCTGAGGAGAGCCCCAAGTAAGATGAGCTTATGTCTGAAAGGGCTTAAAGGAGAGCTGGCATTGGAGAGGAGGAAGAAAACAGCAGTGTGGACGGCCGACGGAGGGCTGTCAGTAGTGCTGACAGATCACTGGGCTACTCACAGAGCTGGGATGAGGGCAGAGTTATAAATGTTGCAGGTTATAAATGGCCTCTCCCCGTAGCTTACCTCTGAGAAACCTCAGTAAGGTGTAACCTGTTTCCCATCCACTTTGGAGCCTGGCTGGCTGCTTCACTTTACTTTCATCTTGGCTGTCCGTCACAGGGGAGCCTGAGTCTGGGCAGTGTGAAGTTCTTCCACTGTATCTCCTCCAACAGATTTCCCACATAAAGCAAGGGCCCAGGGTCAGCCCGGATCTCTGCTGTAGCCCCAGCTGGGTCCTAACCATCAGCACAAGGTGTGACTAGAGCAAATCTTCCCAGCCTGGATCTCAGTTACACCTGCTGGGTGTGTGTGAGGGGGGAGGAAGGGAGCACTCTCCATCTCTGGCTCTTCCCATGATTCCCCTAACAACCTTCCAGGGCTCTGACCCCCACTACTGTCTGCCAGAACCAGACCCTTTTGCACAGGGAGAATGAAGCTGGAATCCTGCATTCCGCAAAGTCTCTGAAGACTGAAGAAGTGGACATGTTACTAAACCTCTCCAGTGTCAGACCAGAAGGGCTGTGCCAGCTGGTGTGATGAGGGTTTCTGTACCCTCACACGGGTACAGAGAGAGACAAGCTGAGCTGCTCCCATGGCTTCAGCACCAGGCAGAGCTCAGGAACCATTTGTGGACCAAACACACACCTCCACCCGCTAACCCCTGCAGGCGCACACAATCAAATCACAGACGTGGGCCAAGAAATACTTAGGAAGCTCAGGAGAGCATAAGACAGACTTGTAAGAGTTACACTGAGGTCCAAACACAATGTTATTCCGTCTAATCTTACAGACTTTTAGTACCTGAGATCATATCGCACACTCAATTTCGGACCTTGCTGTTTTTACTCAACATTTTCTCTTACTTTTTCATGGCATCCCACGCCCCAGTGACCTTTCATTTACGGGGTGTCTACCAGCCCCCTCAGCTGCCTGCATACTTGGACCTTTAGGCAAAGACATTTATGTTTGAAGCATCTGCTGAATGCCCTGCTATTCCTGCCAGAAGCTCAGGCCGGTCAGTGGCCCAGGACAGCACAGAAAAGCTGCTGAGGCCCAGACACTCAGCTGCAGGGACACAGAGACTCCAGACAGCCCGGGGCCACGTCCACCACACTCCCAGTGTGGCCTCCCACAGTTCACCGGACCTCTGTGTGGCAGTTTCCTTTTGTGAAATTGAGGTAAACACTTGCTAGGAAGATCTTTGCTAAGCTTGGAGGTGAGACTTAGAAGGGTGTGACCCTCCTGCCCTGGGGTTGGCTGCCTGCATCTTCAGGGCCACTTCTTTGGGTTCTTGTTGGAGCTGGGAACCCTAGTGCTAGGACAGCCAGGAGATCTTGAGAAAGGCTGGTACTTTGGGTCCCCTAGGGTGTGACTGAAAGCCAATGCCTGGAAGTGATGTGGTTGGTAACTGAGACTGGGACTTCTGGTACTGATCCCTAACATGCCCCACCCCCCTCCACCCTCCAGTGTGGAGCTCCAATATCTCCTTGGTGGGGGTTGTGGGGGACTGGATCAAGGTCAGATAAGGGGGAAACTAAAGGCCAAGGTTTGGTCAAGGTCACCAAGTTGGTGGGGGCTGAGCCCACTGCATCACGATCTCCTACTGGCCCTGGGAAGAGCAGACCCCATGATCAAAGCCCTTGCCTCCTTGCCCTTGGCTATCATTTAGCCAGGGACCAACTAGGCAGCACTATCCCACAAAGCCTGACCAGGATGCTGGGGGCTGCCTAAGCCTTGAACTTCCACCACAGCACTAGCTGACACAGCGGCCCCAAGGGCACACGGATGGCACACCCGCCACTGCTCTGACCCCTCCCCACTCACTGCCGCCCCTCCCCCACGTCTCCGATATCCCAGACCCACGCAGCCCGACTTCAACTTGGTGCTGCTGCCCCTCTGGAGCCACTACCAGCCCGACCAGCAGCTCCAGTTCAGCGGTCCCCTGGGGCAGCCCTCCAGCATCTCAGCGGACCAGTGCCCAAATTCCTTCCCCTGAAGACCCGACGGGTGCGCTCGGCTTTCGGCGGCCCCTGGTGGGTCATCCGGAGCCTCCGTTCCCTGCCATCCCTCGGGCTGCGTCGCCCAGTCCGGACCACCGCTGCTCGCAGACAATGGGCCACGGCGCCTAGGCTCCCCCGTGAGCTGCAGGACTCGCCCCAGCCCCGGGGCACTAGCGCCCGACACTCCCAGGAGCCCCCTCCCCCGCAGCGATTCCGAGCCAGGCGCACGGGTGGGGTGGGTGCCGGCTGCAGGTGGAGGGAGGAAGGCCTGAGAGAATGAGGTCGGCGGGGCCACAGAGGCACGCCGAGCGCGGGCCGGGGTCTCACCTGTGCGCTGACCTGGGCCGCCGGCCTCCGGCAGCAGCTGCTCCGCGTGGGCCGCCTCCCTGGGCATGGCCTGGCCGTGCGCCCGCCGGCCTTGCAGTCCGTCTGTCCGTAGGCTGACCGCCGAGTGGCGCCGTCTGCGGAGCCTGCGCGGCCACCGCCCCTCTGCCGGCGGGAGGAGGGGGCCGCGTGACGTCACGCCCCGCCCTCCTGGCGCCCGAGTGAGCGTGAGCGCGCGTGCCCGGCTCTGCGGCGGGCTGGAGGGGCAGAGCGGCCCACCCGGCCCTGAACACCTGACCCTGGCGCTGCAGCAAACCGCAGGTGCGCGGGCCACCACTGCCAGCCCCAATGGGCCCTGCCCTCTCTCCACCTAGGCGGGAAGGAGGTTCGTGAATCAGCTTGTGCTGGCTTCCCTTTGCGCCCAGCAGTTTCGCGGAGGGTGTGTGAGGGGTCACCAGGGGACCTTTGCCAACTCCAACCCGTCTCCTCCGGTCCAAGGTGAGCGGCGGGAGGGGCGGAAGTGCCCCCACGCGATTGGCTAGTCCTCACCATCTTCGGTCTCTATAGAAACTGTCTCCGTACCCATGGCAACCAGGGAAGGCTGGAGCGCTGGCTGGGAAGGAGACCCAAGACCCGCTCCTGGCGCCTGCGTCTTCCCAACGTCCTAAGTAGTTCTATGATTTGCCCTCCCAGCCCCTTAGTTCCATAGGAACTAGAAGGAAAAAAGAAGTGTGCGTTCTTCCATTTGGGGCAGCCACCATGGTGCAGCCTCCACGAATAAAAGCCTTCCCCTTTGTCTTCCCGAAATGCACTATTTACTTGCACACAGCCCACTCCACCGCCCAAATTTACTCAACACCCACCCTGTACCAGGCACAGGGAGAGAGATGAATGCGATACTGTTACCATCCAGAGCTCGCTGACAGGAATCAGAACACACCATTGTTGTAGGATGTGAGTATGTTTCCTCCATCCTTAGTCCTCTGCTGGTCACACTTCAAGCTCATGACTTCATGCCCAGGGACCGCCCTGAATCTTCCCCTAGGCTCAGCTGCCCGACACAACGGGCTACTTGCTGGTCATCTCTCCTGCTGTTGTACCACAGGCTCCAACACCACCACTCCCAAGCCTAAGCCCAGCGCCCTCCCACAAAGCTGCTTGTTTTCTCCCAGTCAGCAAACCCTTCATCTTGATTGCTCAACCAGAAATGCAGGACTCTGATTCCCTTCCATGGCAGGCTCCATGTAAGGACTATCATCTTCATCTTCTAACGATTTCTAAATTGCCATTGCCTTAACTGAAACCTTCATAACTTCAGCTGCCTTCTGCCTTGTCACCCACTACTGATTTCTCAGAAACCAAATTCAATCATGCCATCCATAGTTTTAAAACACTTCAGTGGAGAATGAGGTCTTCTAGTTTAAATAAGATGGTTTAGACTTGTCTCCGTGTTCCTCACCACTAAGAATGAGGGTAAGTAAAAAAATACTGCTACAAAATAATAGAAACCTTTATAAAGCAAAAATATTAAAATGTGAAACTATTGTTTTCTGGCTTATCCTGGAGTCCTGGTGTGGCATTGTGGGCTGGACGGCAAAGCTCAGTTTGAGCTGCAAGGTTGGCCGATTCAAGCTCACCAGCCGCTCTTTGAAAATCACTGTGAGTTGGAACTGACTAGATGGCACTTCACAACAACAGTGATAGCTTCTGAAGGTGGTGTTTCTATCTCTTCCCAGAAGAATTCTGCACTCTGATGTTCACAACGTCAAAATGATCATTCAGGCATCCTTGAGAGTCTCAAATCAAAAGATCCATTGTATCACTGGAAACCCAGAAGTAAAGCAAAAAGAGACTGGGCCTAAAATAAGTTTTTGAAGAGATGCTGATTGAAACTTCACAAATTGAGCAAAAGATTCAGATTCAAATAGCTTAGCAAATCTCAAACAGGGTGAACTTAAATTCATGACAAGACACAACCCAATTTAACTTCTGAAAACTGTTAAATGCCGTCAAGTCAGTCCTGACTCCCAGTGACCCTGTTAGGGTTTCCGAGGAACAGCTGGTGTGTTTGAACTTCTGACCTTGTGGTTCACAGTCCAATACTGATCCTACAGCGCCGTACCAGAAGTTTGAAAACTAGAGACAAGAGAAAACTAAATGCAGTCAGAGAGAAATGACACATTGCAACACCACTTTGAATGACAATTGGTTTCTCCTCTGAAACCATGGAAGGTAGAAAGAAGTGGCTGGAAGAAAGAAACTTGCTCAGGAATGAAGGAGAAGTAATGACGTTTTCAGATGAAGGAAGACTATAGGAATTTGTAGCTAGCAGACCTAGCCTAAAGGAATGACAAAAAGGGTGAATCTTAGAGTATCAGAAAGTAAAAACCATGGAAAAGTGTATGGTGGTGGTTACGTGCTGTGGAGTTGGTTCTGACTCAGTGACCCTGTGCATGGTTTCCGAGGCTGTAAATCTTTATGGAAGCAGAAAACCTCATCTTTCTCTCGTGAAACAGCTGGTAGTTTTGAACTGCTGACCTTGAGACTAGCAGCCTAATTTGTAACCACTATGCTATCAGAGCTCCCTGATCTTAAAAGTAAGTACACCAATTAAAGGGCAGAGATTTAGCAACATAGATTGAAAGTAAGAAGAAAGATATGCATGAGGCACTAACCAAACAAAATCAAGCAGGAGTATCTGATAAAGTAGCTTTCAGAGTAAAGCAAATTATTAGAGACCAAGAAGGATATCATATATGGCATAGTTATAATGATCTGTTCACTAGGAAGACATATAACCCTACTGTGTACATCAAACAGCCTCAAAATACATGAAGCAAAAATTGATAATGCTGAAAGAGAAACAGATGTATCCACAGTTAGAAAGATTTCTACTCATCCTTCTTAGTAACTGATGGAACTGTTCTGTTGTCAGGTGACGTGACTCAGTGGCCCTATGCACAACAGAACGAAACATTGTCCCGTCCTGTGCCTGTCTCATATTCATTGCTATGTTTGAGCCATTGTTGCTGCCACTGTGCCAATCCAATTCATTGGGGATTCTTCCTCTTTTTCGCTGACCCTTCACTTTACCAAGCATGATGTCCTTCTCCAGGGACTGGTCCCTGCTGATAATATGTCTGAAGTATGAGAGACAAAGTCTGGCCATCCAAGTGTTTAAGGAGCATTCAGGCTGGACTTCTTACAACACAGATAGGATTGTTCTTAGGCAGTCAGTCCATGGTACTTTTCATTATTTTCCTCCAACACCATAACTTAGATGTATCAATTCTTCTCTGGTCTTAATTATTCGGTGTCCTACTTTCACATGCATATGAGGTTATTAAAAATACCATGGCTTGGGTCAGGCACACCTTAGTCCTCAAACTGACATGTTTGCACTTTAACACTTTGAAATAAGTCTTTTGTAGCAGATTTTCCCAATGTAATGAATTCTTTGTTTTCTTGACTGCTTCTTCCATGAGTGTTGATGGCTGATCCCAGCAAAGTGAAGTCTTTGACAACTTCAATCTTTTCTTGATTTATCTTGTTGTTATTTATTGGTCCAGTGGTGAGGATTTTTGTTTTCTTTACATTGAGGTGCAACCCATAACAAAGGTTGTAGTCTTTGATCTTCATCAGTAAGTATTTTAATTCCTCTTCAGTTTCAGCAAGCAAGGTATCCTCTGCATATTGCAGATCGTTAGAGTCTTCCTTCAATCCTGATGCTATGTTCTTCCTTATATAATCCAGTTTCCAGATTATTTGCTCAGTATACAAACAGATTGAATAAGTATGGTGAAAGAATACAACCTAAGTTCATTTTAATTTTTTAACATACTTTTTATTGTGAATTGAGTGAAGGTTCACAGAGCAGATCATCAATTCTATATTCAACAAATCACATACCTTGCATCATTTACATGGTTGCAACCCCCTCCATGTACCAACAGTTAACAGCATTGAGCTCTGTTCACTTCCCATGTCTCCTAACACCACCGTCTTTCTTCTGCTAACCTCCCTCTTGTATACTGCCCACCCTGTCACCCATACCAACATGTTAACTGTTGTTGGTAAAGTGCTGTCCAGTTGGTTCTGACTCACAGTGATCCTGTACAGGGTTTCCTAGGAGCAGCTGATGGATTTGAACTACCGACCTTGTTGTTCCCAGTCGAGTACTGATCCTTACAGTGCCCCGCCAGGCGGTCCAAACTCCTGTTAACTAGCCCTTGAATAATTTTCCCTTCAGCCCCTCACTCTTTAACCATCATAGATGGTTTCTTTCATCAAGACAACCTTTTTAAAAACTTTTTTTTACAACATTGGTCTTATACAGTGTTTGCCCTTTATTTCATTCAGACATGTCCTCCAGGTTCACCCATGTTGTGAGGTGTTTCACAGATTCATCATTACTCAGTGGTTTGTAGTATTCTGTTGTGTGTATGTACCAAGTCACTTTAACCAGTCTATTGATGGGCATTTAAGCTGTCGCCATCTTTTTGATGTGTTGCTTGTAGACAGCACACTGAAGGATCCTGTTTTCTTATACATTCTGCTCTGTCTCTAGACTGGTACATTTAATCCACCAACATACAGTGCAATTATCAATATATATCAATTGATTGTTGTCATGTTTCTGAGTGGGGTGTGTGTGTGTGTGGTACTGCTGGATTCTTTGTTTCATATAATTTACTAAGCTGAGTTCATTTTGTTTGTGGGCTTTCTTTTCAATTTCATTTCTGTTGTGTTAACGTTACTAAATCTTTCTGATTTTCCTCTTTTTTTTTTTTTATCTTGGTGTGCAGGTGTATTATTTCTCATTGAGGTTACCTTATAATTTATTAATATTTTCTCTGCCTAAAACAGTTTATTTCATTTAGAAATCTTCTTGGCTTCCTTGCAATTTGGAAGTTCTGTATCTACACTATTCCTTTTTTGTGCTTTGTAGTTGACTTCATTATACATTGATATCTCTGGTTCCCTGTTTTCAGTCTTGTCGGTTTGTTTTACTTTAAATACTTCTGTATCTATATTGAGTTCTGGGTGGTGTTGTCATGTGTGGTAATCTCA